ATTGTGGGCTAAAAGCACATTTACCCATTAGAACTCCATATATTGTATTGTTTCTCTTAACATCTAATGATACAAATAAGATGTTCACTGTCTGTTTATACTATGTTCATTTAAGAAAATTATATCAAGAAAGCAATGNTAACATCTAATGATACAAATAAGATGTTCACTGTCTGTTTATACTATGTTCATTTAAGAAAATTATATCAAGAAAGCAATGAGAATTGCTCATGGTTTTGTGGATTTAAATTCATTTACAGAAAGTTTTTAGGGGGAAATTATATATCTGAGGGCTTGTTGGCCTTCATTCATATCAAAATTTTGGCGAAAAAAAGTCAGAAGACTTTTAACTTACTACCTATTACTTGGGTCTGAACAAAAGTGGAAAAGTGGTAAAATTCATTCAAGGAGGCAGGGTGAACAGAGTTAAATAATGTCAAAGTTGAATCAAGTCCTAGTAATTTTCAGTGAACAGAATAACATAGGAGCTGGATAAATCAATCTCTGTAGACAACAATGTCACAACTTTTTGGAGAGACCTGCATTGCACTCTCTTTGGATGCTAGAGAGAGAGAGCAACATAAAAATGGACCCACATGTTGCAGGACAATGATAGATCTGAGAAACACAGCTCTCATTCTGTGTGTCACTAGCTGAAGGACAGAGCAGAAGTCTGAAGTTCGGAGCAGAAGGAGAGCCACTCTGCACATCTGAGAGGCTACAACTTAACCTTAGTATATAAATGTATACTTGANAAAAAAAAAAAAAAAAGGATGAACCTTAGGCTAATAACCAGACAGAAAGTAGGACCTTACAGGGAATGGAATATAAATATGTGCTAGAAAAAGGACAGATCAGAGTCATGACTAACCTTGACCACTTACCTCTTACTGTGAAGTATAAAAAATAGATAAGCGCAATGTAAAACAGCATCAGAACACCTACCATCCATGTAATATCCCATATCCAGTTGTTGTATAAGGAAAAGAAAGGATCTGGAATAGAAACTGAGAAAGATGTAAAAGTTAGGAAATTAGTTGAACTGAGAACTAAGGAGAGAGAATACTCAAGAACCAACATTTAATACAACTATACTTGTACTGAGAATTTATTCTTTAGAAGTCATTGTTTAGAAGTCATTGTTTAGAAGTCATTAGTTCATTTTACTACTGAAAATGAACTAATTCAATTAACCCTCATTACAACTTATAAAATAGATTCTTTAATATTCTTTTATTATCTTGTTATTATTAATTTTGAGCTGATGTTATAATAAGATGAAAGTTGGATGAATAGAATTGATTTTGTGTTTGGGAGAGATGTTGTTCAAGGCCTATGGAGCATGAAGGTGGAAATGGAGGGAACAGAGAGAGTCCTGCTGGTAACCACCCTAATTCTCTAAAATTTTCCTTTGAAAGCAATGGCTTAAGTAAAATAAAGCTTTTTTGTTTTTGTTTTTTTGACTTGTTTGATGGTAATTATTCTGTATATACATTTCCTTAGAATTCTTTAAATAATTAAGAACTGTCAAGTAACAGAATAATATTTTTGAATAGTATATTAATCTATCAACTTTAAGTGATAGCCACATTTCATACACAACAGGTTCAAGGAAGGATTTCAATGTTTCATAACCTTCTGCAATTGCATGTACTGAAGGGGTATATGTGAAAATTATTCTCAGATGGAAAACATTTGTGTTTGACATTGTGTATTCAATATAGATGCTAAGCCCCAAATAGACAAGAAACATTGACCTAGAGTCATGAAGGTACACCCCAGTAAAGGAAAAGAGTGGTTGGGCCCAACCATATTTTCTGGAGCCAGAATGTTTTTCCTCCTTGTAGCACAAAGTTTGATGTCCTTAAGCACAGCTGAGAACATCGGCAGCAGTTATAGAACCTTCAGTCCTTGACACCCAAGACAACCTTAGTGTTGGAATTTGGTCCTCTGAGATGCCACCCAAACCACTGATCTTCCTGGTGGTGATGAGAAAGTCACACAGCTTTGGCTAAACAAAACCCCAGGAAACAGGCTTCCAGAAAAAGGGAGAGTCCCCCCTACTGACCCCATTTACCTCTTATCCGGAATAGCAGATATATACCGAGAATTACACAAAAGCATACAAAACACAAGGCTTGACTAAAAATAGAGTTCAAGAAGCGAATGAAGTCACATCCAAGCACTAGAACAGAGAGAGTTTGAATTAATTAATGAGGAATGCAGAAGTTGGGAGCATCACTGACCTAAGCACCGTTATCAAAAAAAGCATAGTCATTGCCCATGCCCACTCAACCTAGGTAAGACTCAGCTTGTGAGTTTAGTTTGTGGGTGGTGGCAAGGCCTGGTAAGATTGCACTTGTAGACTACTAGGGCTAAGAGGAGTTTCCATTCCTAGTTCTCACCACCTAACCTGCACAAGATTCATCTGTCTGGGGGGACTGGAGAGAGGCCTTAGGAATCTTCATCAGATTTCTGGGGATTCTGAGGAGTGTGGGACTGACCAGATGTAGCTGTGGCGACACTGAGTTTGCTGAAAGAAAAATCTGTCTTGTATCCGCAGACTCTAAACATACTTACACTTTTCAGCTTGAATCCCACTGTCAAGGGGCTTATTTCTACAAGCTATTCAGAGATGATTAAAATATTTTTCCATATGTTACTAAAATATGTATCCATTTTTTCTTGATTTATATTACTTTCCAGAGGAAAATAACCAGAACAATCAGGTACTTTCTAAAGAAACTCAACTGTAGTAAAATTATGATTTTGGTTCATTAAAAAGCTTTTATAGGGAAGCAGGGAAAAGCTCGTCATTGTTATATAATGGGTAGATATCATGTATCAGTAGATTAGATTTTCACAATGAATGAAATTCCCACGAAAGCTACGCAACAGGCTGCCACATGAGTTGGTAACCTCCTAGACCATTAAGGTGTGCAGGCAGAAACTTGAAACTAAATACTGGCAGGAAGCTCAATGATCAGAGCATGAGAATTGAAGCCAAACACATCTGCATTCCGAGCTCGGCTCTGCCACTTATGAGTGATGTGAGCCATGACAACCTCATCTATCAACTGGTGGCAATAATAGCACTGCCTTTTAGGATTAACTTAGTTAAATTCTGTAAAATGATTATCACAATGTCTAGCATAAGGTAGGCATTAAATAGTATGGTACCAGGTTTCATGGATCCGGTAGGAAAATGTGCACAATGGATTCTATTTTCTCCTTTGCCTCATCTCCATTAAATTGTCTACTCAATCTCCAAATTCATATCCTCCATCTAGCATATTTTTTTGTAGCAATATTTTTTGTATTTGAGTTGGGGCTAAAAATCAGTGGAACTGTTTTAGTGGCAAGTACAGAGCCTGGATTGAGCATGTTTGGGGGACAGAATTTTAACTGAGGCCATTGTAGCTCAACTGTATATGAGCTACTTTGTTTGGTCATATTTTGGAAAAAGAGCTGTTCTTAAAAAAGTCTCATGACCTTGTACCTGATGGGCCACTGTATCATTCAATGATATATCCATAAAGAAAGATGATATAGTCATTTAGTTTAGCCATAAACCTGAAGGAACAGTCTGGTTACAAAAGGCTTGTTGGTTTAGAGACCTATTTCTTTTTCATGTTAGTTTTGTTCTAGTTCTCGAATGAAGGCAGTATCTTAAACATTAATGACAATCTGTGCAGGAGAGAAGATTGTGATCAAATGAAGTGTATCCTAGAGCAAGACTCAGGATTCTTCCATCACTAAATCATTTTGAGGGAAGCAGAAGTTGGATCCACTTCGTTTTGAGTGAATGGACTCTTACCTAAGAGAGAAAGCACTCCTTTGGGGGCACAGAAGTAACTGTGGGCCTAAATAGCTAGGGAAGCATTTATACTGACCTCGTTCCTCAAAAATCCTTGTCCCTGAAAGTTGGTAATTGAGAGGTGTGGAGTTTAACACTTCTAAAGTGAGAAACAAACCCTAAATACTTCTATGTAAGGCTTGGAATCTGTTGACAAATGTCATACAGCTTTGCTTAAGCCCCCCATAAGACTCAGGCATCACATTAAGAGAGATGCCCTAAGTGATTCCACCCTGGATGCAGCAGTTACCTGGATTTTTGAAACATCGACAGCCAAAGAGCACAGTGATCACAAGTAATATCAAAAAAGAAAGTGAAATTAAAATAATCAGCCAAGTGTGGACCGGAAGAAACAGGGAATCTGAAAGAAAGAGCAGAGCAATTTGAACTTCAATAAACCCATGGCATACACCATTAATGGATTAAGAATTTCACTGCTAATAAGCAGGATTCCCCTTCAGGTCCTGCATTTTCTTTATTTTTTTTTATTGGAGGCAGGACTAAAAATAAGTGGAACTGTTTTAGTGGCAAGTACAGAGCGTGGATTGAGCATGTTTAGGGGATAGAATTTTAACTGAGGCCATAGTGGATTGAAAGAAGTCTCTCTCTTCCCCTAGCGGGGTTGGCTCAGTGGTAGAGTGTTGGACTGCTAACTGAAGGGTCCTCGGTCAATGCCAAGGGTATTGCCAAGGGTTCAATGCTGAAGGTACCTTGGTTGCAAGCTTGATCCCCAGCCCAGGTTGGGGTGTGTGCAAGAGGCAACCAATCCATGTGTCTCTCTCACATAGATGTTTCTCTCTCTCTCTCTCTGTCTCCTTTCCACTGTCTTTGAAAAGCAACGGAAAAAAATATCCTTGGGTAAAGATTAAAAAATATTAATAATGAGGAAGTAGAATTTATTTTATCAGATAAAAACTGACTATATGGAGATGTAAAGTATAGCGTAGGGAATATAGTCAATAATAGTGTATTAACTATGTATAGTGCCCAGTGGGTACTGAATTTATTGGGTGATCACTTTGTAAGTTATATAAATGTCTAACCACTGTGTTTTAGATGTGAAACTAATATATTGTATGTCAACTGTAATTTAAAAATTAAAAAACTATTTAAAAACTGACTATAACGAAATGATTATATTGATTTTGGATGATATGTATCTTCATAGATGTAAATATTCCCATTCAAAACACAGTAGTCCTCCACAAACATTTATGTTTTTTTGAAGTGTTTTAGATAGAGTATATATTGTTTTTCAAGTAGGTTCTGTATCTGCCTTATGACTATTTTGTGGCTAATGTTAAGTACTTTTCCAGAAAATCAAAGTTTGCCATGAAGTGTTTTTGCAGATTTCATGTTTATGTTAAAATTTTAACCTGTTTTAATATTTGTGAATTACATAAAAGTTTGAGGGCTTCATTTATTACATAAAATGTGAAAAATGATAACAATACTGCTCATCTAGTTCATGAAAGCCTTCTTCTCCAAAATTTAATTATGATATAATTTGATTTTAGATATTATTCATTTAATTGCATCAGGTATGGCTCTGTTTTTCAAATATTATGCTTCTGTTAAAGCCTATTACAATTTGAATCTTATCTGAAACTAATATTTGAATTTATCTATATAATTCTTATGAATTTGCATAAGAAACAATTCTCTTTAGTGAAACAGTAGGAAATATCAAAAAGATTAAAAAGAGGGTCTAAAGGAAATTATTTGTTACCATTGATAAAAGGGTGAGATCAAAACAAATACTTCTGAATATTGCACTTTGCCTGCTGTGTCTGTTTTTTTCCAACCTCTCTCCTCATTCCTTTTCAGACTTTGCAGGTTTCTCTTATTTACCTAAAGGACAGCTAAAAGGCATGCTCCAAAATTCAGTTCTAGGATCCTGATTTTTTATTTTTTCTGTTCTCATTTTTCTGTGATCTTATCCAGCGTTATGATTGTAAATATTCTTGTTAGGTTGAAGACATTCACATTATGTCCCAGGCTTTATCCCTTCCACAAAATCTTGACTCCCCATCAACAATTCCACTGGCATGTCTTATAAGCATGGACTTATCTCCAAGATATGTTCATCTCACACACTTCCTCCTCTCAGTAGATGAAAACTTATCTTTCATCACTCAGGCCCCTAACTTTAGAATTATTCTTTATTCCTCTCTTTCTCTTACATCACATATTCAATCCATCAGTAAGTCCTACCAGCACTTAATTTAAAATATTTATAGAATCTTACCGACTCTTACTATCTTTTCTGCTATACCTATTTCCCAGGTCATTGTTATAGACGCCTATCTAGTCAGGGTAACAGTCTTCCCCCCCACCCCCCAGTCCATTTCCTAATCCTCCAAGAGGATTAGAGAAGACTTTTGAGAGAAAAGGCTGTCCCTCAATCAGTCCAGAGGCTCTGTGAAGTGACACCTGAAGACCCACCACTCTGCTTCTGTAACCAACCTAAGACTTATCTGCACAGGTGTTAGCTAAGGGCACCTTTGTCACACATAGGACATAGCCTTCTCCTGTTTGGCCTTTGATATCCACCCACCATGCTTCTGAAGGTGATTTATTGATATATTGACCAATAATCAAAAACCTGTGTTTAGTTCCACATTTTACTTACTGTCAGTTTGACTGGCTTCTCTCAACCTCTGTTTACCTATAAATGGCCATAATAATCCCTTCCTACTGAACTTTCAGGAAGTTTTAAAGACAGTGTTAGTACTGAATGTTACATGACAGGAAGCAACAATTTTTGCTTCTACTAAAACATTTGTATTACAAAATGTCACAAAACCCCATGAAGTATGATTAGACTTCTTTCTAAGATGAGAAAACTATAATCAAGAAGGTTGGTGGCATCTTTTAAGTCACTGAGCTAAAGACTTGTTAAGCTTACACGTGAAATCTGTGAATGAAGATGGGCCTCCGTAATAAATCAGTGACCAAAAGTAACCTCACAGGGTTACTGGGCAGGTCATGGTGGGTAGTTATACCCTAGGCCTATAACTTCTTTAGTAAAAGGTTTGTTTATACCTTAAGCAAGACTTATTCATGCTTTTGTGCACCTAGGTAAACAGACCATTGAAATGCCTGAGTAATCCTCTTTTTCAGACTCCTGGGATACACAACTACCCTCAGTGGATCACACAGTCTTGTTAACTATCATGTAATATAATCATAGAGACTCCCCTGCCTTGTTTTTCCCCACATTCACATAATCTTACTTATGTCCCCTCCTTAATTCCAAATGTATAAAAAGAACTGCAAAACTGTCGTTCTTGTGAGCATTTGACATCTTGCTTCCAGGCATGTCATCAGTTTGGCTCAAATAAACTCATAAAAATTCTCTCACGTTTGGACGTTCTTGTATTGGTAATATCCTGAGGGTCTAATGAGATAATGAACTCTCCCTTAAAGCTGTCATGTGTATTTCAGTTATGGGTTATCATTATCCATCTAAATTTTTTCCTTTAAGGCCCTCCTCTCAGCACCTGACAATATCTGTGTACCAAAACCTGTAACAATTATAAAGAGTCACATTCAAATAGTGCCTGATAATGTACAAAGCTTTTTAACATTAATTATCTCATTTATTTTCTCTATATGTTGCTTTATTGACAAAGAAACCCTGCCAAACACTCACCATTTAAGATGAGACTTATTTGTTTCCCTTCCCCTGACAGAGGGTTGCGAATGTAGCAAACCACATGGTCCTGTGATTTGTTTCTGAGGAGAAGAGTCATCTTCACCTGGAATAATCCAGCTCCATTCTGTGCATAGGATTTTGATGAATGTGGAACTACCTCTCCCTTGCTGTCTCTCCACTCCATCTCCGGCTGTGGGAACCAGCCTCCTGAGTCACATTCCACCGTAAGTCCATTAATGGTAGGTGCCCAAATATGGATCTGTGTCCCCAAGCCTAATGCTGGGCAAATGAGACAGAATCAAGTTAGTTATTGTACTGAGGTTGAGTTGAAAGTTGAAAGGAAAAGGGTTTCATTAATCTTCTATTCTGCAATATAAATGGGGTAATACTCAAATCCACATCCAAGCTACAAGTTAGACTATCTTTGGTCACTCGGCACTGTTCATTTACTGCATAGTATATATTTTGCATTAGACATAAGGGGTTATCTTCTATTTATAACACTTGAAATAGTAAAATATAAAAAAGACAAAAAATTTAAACATGATATATTTTCCACGTATTTTAGCCATAGGGTCATAAGGCCATTGACATGCAATGTTCTATCATAAACCTACCTGCTACACTCAGGTTCATGCTGGCCACATCACTGAAGTTACCATCCTTAAATGAACACTGGTACAGTCCATTATCAGAAATGCTGATATTATGAATTCTGAGAGTCACTTTGCCCTCCCCAATGGCCTCTTTCACAAACTCTGTGCGATCCACATATTCCTGGGCAGCTTTTCCTTTCACTTCATGGCCATCTCTGTATAGGTGAACAAGCCTGGAACGGTCACCCTTGAACCAGGACACCTCCATGTGTTCTGCACTTTGTGGTGGAGACAACTGGCAGCTAAGTTCAGTCTTTCCTCCTACTGTAGCCACCAAATGTCCCGTGGGAATAGTCACTGTCCACTTTTCTGTAGAGAAAGATAGAAAAGTAGGATCAATTTTAGGCCAACGGCATTTTTGTTGCTATATAGTGAAAGACACGCTGTATTCTTCCTATCTGACATAGCCATTCTNTTTGTTGCTATATAGTGAAAGACATGCTGTATTCTTCCTATCTGACATAGCCATTCTAAATATTCAGCTCTGAATATATCCCCTTCTGTTTAAATCAATATTTTATTAATTTTAAAGACCTCTGTTACTACATTATTTTCTTTAAAATATACTCACTTGGGTTCTGGGAAGATGGCAGAGCAGAAAGTACCAGGAATCTAACCCTCTACCTAGATAACAATTGCACTGGCAGACTCTGTCTGAGGGCATATTTTGGAACTCTGGAGTCTATTGGAGACCTTCAACTTCCAGGATAAAGTTTGGGTGGTAGATTGCATTAATTTTGGTAAATTTTAGCTGGTATCACAGTAGTTTATACCCATCCCCCACCCTCAGCTGGGCAACTCTCCCTGGAGCAGCTTTCACATAGCTTATGGGAGCCCAAGTAAGCAAAAAGGACCCTGTCCTTCAAATACCAGGGATCTGTGCTATGATTGCTGGCTCATTGCTGCCTCCAATCACAGAGATTGGAGGTCAACGGGGCAAGTGGCCATTTTTATTGTACCTTTTCCTATTTTTTCAAGTTGCTCCTTTCTAACTAAAGTGACATTCAGGGTATTTAAAGGATCAGCATCATTTCATTCAACCCTTCATTTTTCTCTTTTTCCTTTTTGGGAACCAGACATTAACGATTAGAACATTCAAAAGCAAGGGCCTATATGGGGGAAATTAGAAAGTGACCACATATATCCAGGAAAAGGGACAGGCTCAGAAAAGACCTGAGGAGACAGAAAGCTTACACCTCAAGCTCATCCTTTGTATGCAGACAGCCTACAACAATAAAATAAAACAAAACAAAACAAAAACAATAACTGAAAGACAACAAATCCTGGAAAAGAAAGGAAATCATATTTTGAGTTAACACTTTAAATTCCAATGTTTTCATTTAAAAAATCACAAAACATACAAAGAAACAGGAAAATATGGCATAGTCCAAGGATCAAATAAATAAATAGAAACTGTCCTGAAAGAGACCTGATGGCAGATCTACAATTAAAGACTTTAAAATAACTGTCTTAAAGTTGCTCAGAAAACTATAGGAAGAAGTGAGATAGTCAACAACAAAAAAGTATGAACAAAATGAAAATATAAAGACAGACCTGAAAACCTAAAAAGAAAACAAAAGGAAATTCTGGAGCTAAAAAACACAACTGAAATGAAAAATTCACTAGAGGAATTCAAAGGCAGATTTAAACAGGAAGAAAAAGAATCAGTTAACTTGCAGACAGGACAATGGAAATTATTCAGTCTGGGGAACAGAAAGAAGAAAAATTGAAAAAAAGGATTTGTGGGACATCATTGAGAAGACCAAAATATTTATTGTATGAGTCCCAAAAGGAGAAGAGAGAGAGAAAGGGACAGAGAGAATATTTGGTATAATAATGGCAGAAAACTCCCCAAATGTGATGAAAGACATGATTATAAACATCTAAGTTCAACAAACTCTAAGATGCACTAAAAGAAAACCACAGGTGTGAGGTGATATTTCACTGTGGTTTTAATTTGTATTTCTCTGATGATTAGTGATGTTGAGCATCTTTTCATATGTCTACTGGCCGTCTGTATGTTNTGAATAGACACTTCTCTGATGATTAGTGATGTTGAGCATCTTTTCATATGTCTACTGGCCGTCTGTATGTTCTCTTTAGAGAAGTGTCTATTCAGGTCTTTTGCCCATTTTTTAATTGGATTGTTTTTACTGGTTGTTGTTTTTTGGTGTTGAGCAGCCCAAATGTCCATTAGGAGGTGAGTGGATGAAAAAGCTGTTTTACATTTACACAATGGAATACTACTCTGCTGTAAAAAGAAAGAAAATTTGACCCTTTGCAACAGCTTGGAGGCACCTGGAGAACATTATGCTAAGTGAGGTAAGCCAGTCAGAGAAAGACATGTACCCTATGATTTCACTCATATGTGGAATTTAATGAATAAACTGAACTTTCAAATAAAGTGGAGACAGGCTCATAGACAGAGAGCAGGCAGACAGCTCTGGTGGCGGCAGTGGTGGTGGGGAATGTTGGGCCGTGTGTGTGTGTGTGTGGGTGTGTGTGTGTGTGGAGGGACTGAGCAAAAAACAAAAAAGGAAAGAGAACTCATGGACATGGACAACAGTGTGGTGATTGCAGGGGGAGGGGAAGTGGAAGTGGGCATAGAGGGGATAAATGGTGATGG